CCCCCCCCCCCCCCCCAAAGCCCCCTCTAATAATGAACATTTAGGAGCAAAAAAAAAAGACACAAAGAAGCAACACCAACATGCACGCACCCAAATATATCCAAGCCACGAGTTACACTAATCCTCCGTCAAACACCCCTCCCTGTAGCTTCCATCCCCTCTGCCCGCGCACCCAACGCAAAACCTCTTTTTATTTTTTTTCTAGTATATCTACACTTCCAGTAACTATTAGTTCATCCGTAAACTGCTTCGAACCAAAGCCGGGAGGGCGGGGAACACCACCGTTCCCCCCCAGCTACTCCAACGGCAAGTCCACATGGGGGAGAGCGGTGGGGGTGCGAGCACCACGCTCGCGGGCCGAAGTCGTCCCTCAAGACGTGATATCCACACACACACACACACACACACCCCTCTCGCCATTACGGTGCCAAACGTGGTCTACGATGCATCTAGTCGGGGGCCAGAAGAGCAGGCGACCTACAATGGATACAAAAGAGCCAAGCAAAAAACAAAACGAATTGAAGGCTACCATTACATACAAAAACGTCCGGTACGTTTTTTCGGGGGGATTCGCGGTGCGACCCTTCAAAAGTAAAAAAAAAACGCACAAAAATATGATAATGCCAGGAGGAACCAGTCAACACCACTATATCCGGTGTGAACTTTTGTTCGCCCAAAAAACACCTACGGTGACGCTGTTTTCAGTCCATTCCTTCCGCAATCATTCAAGAGCAAATCCATCCAGCCGACTATCATACGTAGATACAATTTGCAAAGGAGGCCGGCAACGCATACGTGCATCTAACCAACCCCCCCCCCACATAGCACGCCGCCCGCCGACGCGGAATTTTAAAGGAGGGAAGGCTGATAATTTACAAAGCAAAGCGGATTATCCCGTCATACCATCCTATACGGTATTTGTTGTTGTTGTGTGCGCCACAAATAACGCTGCCTGAAATATACACCCGCCAGCTACCTCGTCTCCTTCCTCAAGAGCCGACAGAACTTCTAGTGCTACTGGACGGGGGGCAAAGCAAGCACTCGATCGAACACCAACGTTGTCCGATTGCCCGAGATCGCCGGGAGAGGGGGACAAAAACAAATGCAGACCAACGAGGCCACACTTAAGATGTTTCTTGATTCCCGGTACACCCCCCTGGCTGCCTGTGCTAAATACCCCCCCCCCCGGTGTCATGTCACAACCAAACACCACTCGACCAAAACTAAAAGGGTCCCTGCCTGACTTGAAACTTTCAAAATATCTATAACTGATTTATGTGTCCACCTGAACCCCCCTCCCCCCGTACCGCAACACTTCCTCCCGTGCCCACATAAATGACACGGCCCCGCAACTACCATCTCCACTCCTCGTTAACCCTGGCCCAAGTCTGTAGCTGTGCGTGGAGGTCGTGCTCTCGCACG